TGTCAAGGTCTTAAGAATACTCCTGAAACTTATTACTTGTAGAGCAGCAACATGACATCTCATCTGCCCAAGAAGCACCTCCTCCAGAGGCAGAGAGGAACCAGAGAACCAGCATCTCGTTTTTAGTTTGTCTGGTAATTAGTTTGCTAACCAACAGCTGCACAGCATAGCTGACCCCCTTGTAGTTAATTAAGATATAAGGGACACTGGAGTACAGTCCCAGAATTTTTATATGCTCTTGCCCTTTTTGCTTCCTATGGCTTTCTTAGGTACTGTCAAACTGGTATTGGTACAGGCCCAATACCCAAAAAATCTGTCTCAGTTATGTCTTATTTTCAGTGTCTTTTTCTTGGTCAACCCCATGGGCAGAAATGTTCACAACAAAGATGTATGGACTTGCATATATTAACGAGTATTATTTGTGGTGTGATCAGCATATCTGTCACCAAAACATGATTCTAATGGCAAATCTTTGAGCAAATAATTAGTTAATTTGGGAGTTTTCTGGCCCATCAATAGACATCTTCATGCTGTTGCTACTGCTGAAAACAAGAATAACCATGTCCAGTTATTAACAACTTGTTCTAGCACAGAATCGCAAATCATTATTACTCCTTTCTTCCCCAGACAAATCAGCTTAGCAAAGCTTTGTTATGGCCTATTCATAGGTAGTTTAAACAATATTACTACTATTACAGTATTCTCAGGAAGGTAAAAGTGCCATCCCCAGAATCATATGGTTTGGGTTAAGATCATCTAGTTCCAACCCTTCTGCCATAGGCAGGGACACCTCCCACTAGACCATGTCACCCAAGGCTCTGTCCAACCTGGCCTTGAACACTGCCCGGGATGAAGCATTCACAACTTCCTTGGGCAAACTGTGCCCATGCCTCACCACCCGCACAGTAAAGACCTTCTTCCTTATATCCAACCTGAACTTCCCCAGTTTAAGTTTGAACCCATTACCCTCTGTCCTATTACTATAGTCCCTAATGAAGAGTCCCTCCCCAGCATCCTTGTAGGCCCCCTTCAGATATTGGAAGGCTGCTATGAGGTCTCCACACAGCCTTCTCTTCTCCAGGCTCTGACTCTCTCAGCCTGTCTTCATATAGGAGGTGATCCAGCCCCGTTTTCATCCCCTGATCATGGCCTTCCTCATGTCCAGGGAAAACAAACAGGCTCAGCAGTTGCTAGCATGTTTCCACTGGCAATGCAAGTAGAATCACAAGAAAAACAAAATCTCAAAACCAAATTCCTTTTGATACCATGTGAAAGCTGAAGAGGAAATATGAGAGCCTAAGAGGAGTTTCTTTTAATGCACCATCCAGAAGCATTATTTCACCTGACAGTCACTTGCAAGTTTCCTACCGGCTAAATGTTTTGCAGATAGAGTTAAACAGACAGAGGTTTCAAACACATTTGGATTCTGACGATGCAGCCTGGGAAAGGAATTTTCCACTTTGTATTGCTGAGAAAAATGCAGATGCTGTAGGCTATGGTATCATGTTCAGAGGAACAAGGTGGGTAGGATAGGGCATTAGGCAGTATTATACTCTAGGGAAGAAAGAGCAGACGGGCACAATGGAAGTGCTTCATTATATTTTAAATGGGAATAGTTCCAAGGATAGGAAAGCCTGTAGTGCTTGTAAAGGATTAAGCAGGGTAATGTGCTTTTTAAGAAGACATAAAGAGGTATGTAATGTGATATGTTTAAGCCTAAATGATTTTTCTTGGAGTCCTCAGTGAATGTTTAAGCAGGCATGACTTAGGCCTCTGTAAATCCTCTCTGAATAAATAACTTCCTTGAAAATAGAGATTCCTGTGACAGAATGAGATGCATATTTCATAACCTATGCAAAAAAGGAAAATCAATTTGAAAAACATGAAATACTTCGGAATAATAAAGCAAAAAAGAAAATAAAAGTGAATATTCTTCAGACTAATCCAAGCATATATAGGAATACAGCTACTCTCCCTATCCAGTTTGATTTGCAGAGCAGGAAAATGACTAAATGCCTCCCCACCTTCAATTCAGATCTTCAACTGCTTTTTGTTGCTTTTTGAGAAAGAAAGAAACAGTAAGTGGCAGAAAATATCTAAAGTGCCTGCACTTTTCAGGCTATTTCCTGTTTAACGTACCCCTGCTCTCTCTACAGGGTAAATCTACCCAGCTGTTCTCTAACCAGACTTGATGGTGTATATAGCTGTTCACTATGGACGGAACAGGAGCACACACATGTATGTATGCACCTGATTTATGAGAAGAACAGGACCAATAAATATCAAAACTTGAAAACTTACAATGGCATGATCTTCCCATCTTATTTCTCTTGCCTGCCCTGCCCTCCTGCCAGGAAAAGCAGGTCAAAGCAGTAGATTGCCCGATGCAGAATGGGACTGTGCAATCACTGTCATTTGCGTGTATTGTATGTTCACTCACACGGGTGCTGCTCCCCACGCAGTCACTGGTACAGAGAGCACGCAGTCCTGCTGAGCGAGCGGGATGATGCAATAATTAAATCAGCAGTTGATCCCACTCCCCTTCCTCCTGTTTATATATACATTACTATTAAACTGCTACTTTCCTTAAAAGAAGAAGAGTACCACTGTAATTTGTAGAATAAAATAAAGACAAAACCGAAGAATTTCTAAGACATTTGGCAAGGCCTCTTCTATGATGTTTACTTGAAAAACCCATTTAACATTGGAGAGGGTGCAGCAGGGACTGTTCTTAAAGAAAAGCATGGCCACTGCGTCCATAATATCCTTCCTGCACACCACTCTCCCATGAAAGTCGTCCCATCACAGTCCCTTCACGGTCATTAGACAGCCTAGTGGAAATCCTTTCCACAGACCCATTTGGAAGCACTCAAGTCTCAGCCCTCACTTGGCACTCTAGGAATGCCAAGGTAACGGCCTCAGAGAACTTCAATAAACTGCTGTTCAGTCATGCTTTAGTGCTGATTAATGGTAGAAACAAACCAAAGCACAGAGGGAGATCTGTTGGCTTAGCTTGTCCAGTGTTATAATCAGGTTGAGTTAACAGCTCTGATGTGGCCAGTTAAATTTATTCAAGGCCCCAAAGAATATTACTAAGTATATAAATAAGCTAAAGGGACACATGAATTCTTTCCTCTGAAATGTTTTAATTTTTCTGAAGCATGTTACAGAGATTACAATCTCTGCCTTTTACCAGCTCTTTCACCCAGCTTTCTTCCCTATCAGGCCAAATGTGATCTCCCAAAAGCTTCTGTTTGAACAGCAAGTGACAACGAATCCTTTTCTGTCATTTCTTCCTCTAAGGTGAAAGAAGGGGAGGAAACCGCACACACACAGGTAGATGTGTATGTTCATTAGAATCAGGCCTGAGACCTCTGATATTTTAAAATTGAAGGGTGGCTGGTTTGCTCACATGCTGCAGCTTGGTTTCTCAACACCATCATTTTCAAGTGCTTATTCCTGGGAAGCAAAGGCATGGAAAATTAAAGAACTCCGATATTTCTGGTATTGTAGGATTTAGGACAACAACTGCCATGTTTCTAGGAATGAGAAGTCAAAGACTGTAACCTGGAATTATCTGCCACCATGACACATTGGTTGAATTTTCAGGTAAAAGATATTAGTCAACCCAGGTGTGTTTGACATGCTCTCGTTTTTTATTCTTCTGAAACCTCAAGTATAACTTGGGGAGGCAAACCAGAAAGAGGCCAGCTTTTTTAAAATATATATACAAAAGTCAAACCCCAGCTTTATCAGCCTCTTTCAAACTGAGCTAAAATATATTTTCTCAAAAAAAAGCAATTTCCTCTAGCCAATAAATCTTCAGACTGTCTTTTTTTTTTCCTTGCTTTTTCAGCTTATAACTTTATCTAAAGGGGTTTCAAAGGTACGGTTCCCCAAGGCCTCTCTTGACTCTTATTTCATGCTGTTTAGTCCTTCAGAGGAGAAAATATGATCTCAGTTATACAGAGGGTGGATTAGTGATTTTTAAGACTCAGAAAAAATCTGTTATTTTGTATTTCTTTTATTATCAAGAGATTGCCAGTGATTTCATCATTCTTTTTAAGATACTCTTTTCTCTCATATGTTTGTATCCAGTTTGAAAACACCAGAAATTACAGGTTTTCCTGGCAAACGGATTTTAATGGAGGCAAAAGGCAAAGTTTATCTGGATTTTCAGAAGTCACTAAGCCAAGCTTAGAACAAGTGAACGTATGACTTCATGGATATTTTCTCTAATCAATCTATAAATTTTGAAGTTTAAGATCTACAAAATATGATATTACCCAGATTTGATTTAAAACTCTCTCTGTGAAAATACAACAGTAGGGAAAAAGTTTGTATACAGTGAGTCATAAACCCATATTCACTTTCATATTGAACCCTTTCATGGACTAGTGTTCTTGTAAAAGCTGTAGCTGTCAACCAAAACACTGGGAGGGAACTATTGCATTCATAAATGTGCCTACACAAATTGTCTCTGGCTCTCAAAGACAGTAGCTACAGAGGGTAGCTGTGAGACTCTTCTTTAAAGCCAGATCATCTTTTTTTGCCTGCCTCTCTCAAAACGTACATGACTCAGAGCTACAACTGAAAGCCAAGGTTTTCAGTGCCAGGAGTCTACCAAAAAAAAGTTAATCAATGTTTTGTCTTAAAAGTGCTTTCAGCTTTGTACAGTACATTGCCACAAGTTCTGGGGTTATAGTCCAGTGATTCTATTCCCATTTTACATTCTGACAAATTTCATCTCTCATACCTATAAATCTTTTTCAGAGCAAACAGTCCAGGTGCTTACATTTTAAAATCTTGTTAAAAGCAAACTGCTTAGTGAGAAGTCACAATCGTCTGTGCTGATGCAATTGGCTTGCAGAAATTGGTATCAGGCATGATCATTATCTGGGTGCAAATGTGTCCCTTCTAGTTAAAAGCAACAACTAAGCAAATGTGGTGTTAAAGCAGAGCATCTCCAATGGGAAGAAAAAAATAAGTCATACCAGTACCTTTTGGATGCCTGCAGTTGACTCCAAGACATTGTTCTCTGAACCATTACTTCTGTTAATCATCCTCCACATTTGGGAATACATGCTGTCCCTCTCAAAAGGATTCATCCCTTTCACTCGGACGTGCTCATAGACTGCGGAGTCCAACACAGTGCCATAAGGAATATCCGTCTGCCTTGAGAGATCCTGGAGAGACCTTAATTGTGGGTGAAGAAAAGAGACACAGGGGACTTGAAGCCACATTTTCAAGAGGAAGGAGCTGTAGGCAAGCAAAGGGCAACACACAGGCAGACAGATGTCAAGCCAGTTTCTTTTGTTTGGTGGTTTGGGGTTTTTTTCTTCACTTCCCTTTTTTTCTTAAAAGACAAAGTGAGGCTGAAAAATTGTATGGTTTAAGACACAAGGAGAAATATGAGGTGAAAGGAAGGGGTAAAAAAAGTGAAAATGCATAGAAGGAGAACAATAGAAGGAATAAAAGGATCCTGTCAAATGCCAGGCTCCTTTGAGCAGGCGTAAAGGAGAGAAGGGAGCACTGCAGTCCCTC